TGATTAGAAAAATAAAAATAAACTAAAGTATGCCGAGTTGAAACTATAATATATTAATGATGAATAATATGTGTGTGCATGATGAATATTGTGATGAAAATTAATATTTATGATAAATATCATACTAATATAAATACTAGAAAGTTATTGTATACATATGATCATACAAAAATATTCATGATGAATAGTATGTATATTCACGATGAATGTTACAGTGAAAATGTACATTCATGACAAATATCATACTGATGAATGTTGAAAAGTTGTTATATACACGTGAACATATATAAATATTCATGATGAATAGTATGTATATTGATGATGAGTAATATGTATCATATTGATGTATGAATACTAAAAAGTTATTGTATACACGTGAACATAAATAAATATATATATATATATATATATTCATGATGAATGTTATAAAGAAAACGTATATTCATGATGAATACTATTTATATTCAAGATGAATGTTGTAATGAAGATGTATATAATGAATATCATAGTGATGTACGAATACTGAAGATTTTTTTGAATACACATGAAAAATACATAACTATTCATGATGAATGTTATAACAAGTGTATGTTCATGATGACTATCATACTAATGTGTGCAATAGATTCATATTAGGTGGTAAGCGAAGGAACTGTAGGGATTAGGGCAACGATTGAGCCTCAGATTTTTCTTCAATAGGCTCTAGGGGAGGTGAGAGGAGAGACAACAGCTATTATAGAAGGACTTGACAATTCATGGCATGAATTAGCGTAGAAGGAAGAAAGACATGAAATGTTAGAAAGATGTAATCTATGAATTAGCTCTTTCGTCTAAGCCTAGAACTAGGAAAGAGCAAGGAATGGACTTTAAGTGAGTTAAAACCGGAAGGAGTATGAATGTGCATAAATATTTAATAATAAGTATTACACAGATATACTATTTGACGTAAAAAATGTTAAAAACATAAAGCTAGAATTTGTTTTCCTCCATTGTTGATGAGCTCGCTTTATGTTTGGTTCATTCTTGGAATCTTTGATGGTCAATCTATGGGTAGAATTTGTAAGAATCCAAGGTTATTTATGTTCCAGAAGTAGTATTTGTGGGTCTTGCCTATTGAACCGTACGTGAAGTTGGTTTTGTTTTGAGCAAAAATCTCATTTTTGGATATATTGCAGATCATAGCTGAGTGAAGCAGAGGATAATGAAGCTCCAGTTAGCTGTGTGGCTTTGCACGCGACCTAAGTCGTGTAAGTCTATGTAAATATAGTTTTCAAATTTGTCTTTTGTATCATTTTGGGATTCAAGGTTGGTTTATTTGGTGTTTTGGAAAGTTTATAAGAGGGTTTTAAGTTTGGCAAGGTTTTGGTATGAACTAAAACTGAGCAGGTGAAGTTTGGTTTGTCCAATGACTTGCGTGACTTTAGCCGCGACTTTGGTTGTGTGGAAAGTTGCTTAAGTCATTGTGAAGTGACTTTTCAACTTTTGTTTTCGTGTCATTTTGGGGTCTTTCAGGGCATCATTTATGTTTCTTAGAGTTTGTTAAGAGATAAGATTGAGTATATATATCTTGATTGTGATCTATACTCTCTTTATTCAGTTGCAAGTATTCCATATCAGAATTCATTATCGAATAAGAATTTAGAGAATCTACGTGATCAAAGTGAGTTTTCTTATAACCTTTTTGAACTGAAATACACATGTTATCAAATGATTACGATTATGAAATGATACCTTATTGGTACTGTTAAATGTGTTACGACATATTACAATTGGTTGAGCCTGCATGCCAATGTATTGACAGCAGTGATGAGCCTAGGTGCCAATATATTGTTAGCAATGAAGTTGAGCCTGGGTGCCAACTTAACGACTAACAACGACGTTGAGCCTGGGTGCCAACTTAACGACTAACAAATATGTTGAGCCTAGGTGCCAACCTTATATCTGAATGAGATATAGTATTTGAAAGCTTATTATATGATCACTGTTTTCGAAAGGTTTTTAATATGAACAGGTTCTTTTTACAATATTACACTAACATGGATTTCCCTACTAGACTCTATGGTCTAACCAAGGCCGTCCTTGGGGGAGGGCGGCATGGGTGCATGCTTAGGGCCCAAAAATATTAGGGGCCCAAAATTTTTCCTTAGCATATAATAGTAGTCTAAAGATAATACATATAAAGAGACCCAATTTTTTTTAGCATATAATAAGAGGCAAAAAGAATTTAGTAGATAATAAGGGTTCAAAAATATATTAACTAATTACATTGGAAAAGAAAATCAAAAAAAACATTTAACTGACCACTCATTATATGCTATTGTTTATTGCCTCTCTAATATATTTTATCTGATACTGAGGTCTAATGCTATTGGCATTGTTATCTTTATATGTTTGAATGTTTTTGTGATTAATCAATAAATTTTCCGTACTAAACGTATATAATAATGCATCTTATATAGGTCATGTTCCATAAAATTTTAATCATAACCTCTTATTTTAGTAGAGTAAGAAAATAATGAAAAAGAAATTCAAGTATTTTTATCAATTGTTTGACTTATTCATCTTTCATTGAGATTCCACTACACACCAAAAGATTCTATTTAAGTGCTCAGCCAACCATTCATTGAGTTTGCATATTATAGGTCTCGTTCATTATTTGTTCTTATTGAATCTTAACAAATCATCTTTTCTTACACTTCTCTAGAAAACCTTAATAATCTTCTCACTACAACAAAATCGGGTTTATAGGACATTCTCAAATTTTAAGTGTCCTAGTAGACCTGTTTATAAGACTTAGTTTATAGGACCAAAAAAATAAAGTGTCCTATCTAAAGTTGTTGTAATAAGTTTATATGACGATTTTGGGCGTCTTAACAAGTTTTTTAGGACATTTTTAATACAAAGTGTCGCATTAGCAACTTTATCGGACACTTTTGAGAAAGTGTCCTATAAACTCATTTTTTTACAGGACACTTGTTTTTATAGAACAAATTTTCAAATAGTGTCCTATAAAGTTGATAATGAGACACTTTATATAAAAAGGGTCCTAAAAAACTTATTACGACGTCAAAAAACGTCATATAAACTTATTACAACACCTTTATATATGATACTTTATTTTTTTGGTCCTATAAACTAAGTCCTATAAACAGGTCTACTAGGACACTTAAATTTTGAGAATGTCCTATAAACCCGATTTTGTTGTAGTGTCTCTACAATTGATTTCTCATTGGCTCTCTCAATTACTTCCTTATGAGTTTTCTTTTTGTATCATAATAACACATATTTCTTGTTATGACCTAAGAAAATTATTACCTTTTAAAAAACTTACCAATCATAGGAGATCGATGATCAAACTCATATATTTATTTTTGGACTTCAAAACTATCCTTGGTTTTTGATACATTTTACTTCTGTTTTTTTTTTTTTGCTAATTATCTAATAATCCCTACGTAAATATTAAGTACTATTTGATCTATAATAAAGAAAAATAAGATTTATTTGCTCCATGAATTATTAACGTTTCTTGTATTCAATTTTATTACTAATGAAAGACATTTATTGAATTTTTTCGTACTTATCGAGGTCCCCTGATTTAAAATATGCCCAAGGCTTATAAAATGTCAGGAACAGGCCTGGGTCTAACACTCATTTTGTTTTAAGGTTTTGACTTATGAATGAACAAACATTAAATTCTGAACCACTAAGAGGTAAATCTTGTTTGGTAAAAATTGTGCCTCTTAATGGTATTCTTATCTGAAGTAGCTAACAGTACTGGTTTGAGGTTTTGACTTATGAATGAACAACATGGAGTGAGTAGTGACCTTTGAAAAATAGGGTCATAAAAGTAGGATAATTGTCATTTGTGGCACTGAGATCAATATCAATCTATTGTTAGATATACAATTCAATGTTTTCGGAGATTGAGTTGAGTTGATCATGGCGTTTTCTTGGTTCTTTACAATTATATGTAATCCTCTTCAGAGCAACTTGCATTTTTAATGGGAGATTTGAATTAGCTTATTCAACCAACAATCATATTACCATTTACATGGAAATAATTGACGAATGTCATGACATTTTTAACCACTTTAGGCAGACAGTCTGAATATCTCTAACACCTAGAAAGACACTTTAACTCATGGATTTGAAGATTAATGGACTGATACTCATGGATATGTTTATATTCCTTTGAATCCTATTGCTCATGGATATGTATATGTCTGTTCTTTTTTTACCTGTGTTTTGGATATGCGTTGGTGTCTTGTAATTTGTTGCTCATAGATGGGTATGATACTTTCCTTCAATCTTAATTATTAAGGTGCAAAACTTTTTTGACATAGTTTTAAGTTCTAGAGACTGTTCTTTCTTTTGAAATTATGTTTTGAACTAGTAATATTGAGTATGTAGTTATGTTTGCAAAATAATTGTTTTATTTAGATAGTTACCAAACAACTATATTTCATTCAAAACTAAATCATACAGAAGGTTAAAATGATGACTTTTCCATTCACAACAGTTAACGAACAACCATATTTCTTTTTGCACTGTATCATACAAAGCCTCTTAAGCATTCTGACCACTTAACAATTATGCATCTAACCATTCAATAACTGCCAAACAACCACTTGTTGAAATACACTTTAAAATCTCTAATTAGGTATTCAAATACACTTTAAATATTTTTTTTTGAATTTTGTTTTCACACAAAAATGTTATCCATGTTCCTATAATTACGATTTTTGAAATTTAGTATTAGAATACTTAAACAAGAATCGAAAAGAACTTGAAAAAACACTTTGAAGTTTTTGTAAAATATTTGAAAATCTTGAAAACATGATATATAATATATAAAAACTTACTTTTTTTTTTTAAATGGGCTTATGTATAACTGGTCCCAGTCCCGTAACGGGTCTCAGGCCGAGCCTAGCCTTGCCTTCAAATTTCATAAAAAAAAAACGTAATTGGTTCCGTCCTGTTGGTCTATAACTGGTCCTTACCTGTCCCTACTAGCCCAAGTCCCAATCATTCTCGATCCCAATCCTAAGCCGTTCACGGGCCACGTCGAGCCCGTTTTGGCCATCTCTGCTTCAGCATCCTGCAAACAATTGCCTAGCCAGCAGCATCAAGCCTGCAGAATCATATAGGATCGGCCAATTATGCGAAAAATCAACTTTTAAGCCCAATAAACATGAGTGTCCAAGAAATGTCCAAGTTCTATTTCTAGCTCCATAAACAATAAAAGTGTAAAATAATATAATAAAAGACTCAAATATAAAATTTTGGAAAGATAGAAGTAAGGAAAAAAGATCGAGAAAGTGGTGCTATATGGTCATAAATACACTCGTCAACTAGGGTACCTGACAAGAATAACCCACCAAAATTTCAAAATTACGTTTTTGACCCTATAATTTAAAAGTTTAAAATTTAACCACCATTTACCCCTTTAGCAACCATTGGTGCATACGAGGACTATTTGGATGCATACCCCTGACCACCCTTACGCACCATAGGGTGCGAGGTGCGTAAGAACCCTACCAAATGGTCCGATTTCCCCCCCTCCCCCCTTCTCCTTTGATCCCAATACAAAACACTATTCAGTTTTGTCTTTTTCTTCCTCAACCCCACTATATAAACAATTCAAATTTTCTATACCAATACAAAACCAACACTTTAATCTCCATTATCTTAATAGAATCTCTATTATCTTAATACAATCTCCATTACCGAAATTTAATCGTCTACATCATGGTAAGTTTACTTAGACTAATTTTAATACAATCTCATTTTTACAACAATCTTTTATATGTTGTTTTTGTAACCTCTTATTTTTACAACAATCTACATCAGGGGGATTATTATGAAATATATGTTAATATAAAATCAAGTATTGAAATTTCAAATACAATTTTGAGAGCATTGCGGAGGTCGGTAAACCGACTAGAAATGTTTAGAAATACTTGCTTCGATCATTGGCTCGATATTCAATCAACACATCAAAATCCAAAGCTCGTGCATTTAATGTTACAAATGCAGGTGCCACAACTAGAGCAAGACTGTAAAGATGCATTGTATTTTAATGTCAAATGACGTCTTTTACGTTTCGAGCAAGAAGAATTTTGTCTCGTCACTGATATGAAATTTGGCCCGAATAAGCCTTCGTTACCAAAGATAACAGAGCCGTCCTTTAGAACTCGGGTTTTAGGCCTTGATCAAAATCGTTCGGTATGCAGGAGTGATCTTACCCGAGTTTTTGAACAACAAAAATTCAGAATAATAACAGACATTGATGCAGTACGCCTATGTCTTTTGCTTCTAGTTTCTATTGGATTTATTGGTCAACAAATGAACCATGTAGTCTTTGATGACTATTTACGGTCAGTCGAAAAATTGGATGCATGAACATGTATTTTTTTCTTCTATAATGGTATATTTTTCGCTGTGTTCTACAATTTTATTAGGTATACTGTCGTATTGATCTATAATATTTCTATGACACAACTATCCATGGGGTAATAATTTTTGGGAGTATCTATACCCTCAACTTAATGATGCGTTACCAAATAAGGAACACGATCAAGCTTATATTTCTCAGATGCATTTTCAGTGTTATCTAAATTGGCTTCAATATCTTCGACAGAAATTTCAGAAATACGAATGCCATAATCAGATGGTAGATCTTGGTATTGATACGTTAGACGATTTTCGTATGACTTATATGGAGTGTTGTACGACTGATATGAAGTTTCATATGTCCCCTAGCTTTGAAACGGGTGATACTGAGATTGGTATGTTTAAAGTGGGGTTTCAAACAGTTGATATTGATATGGAGTGTTAGGCGTTGTCTCATCATTTTGGAACGATTGGTATGGAATAAGTGGAAGTATGCTTTGGCTGTAATCCAACTCACATTGGTTTGACACATATGGAAGGAGTGAACATTTATATTGAGGATGCTTGGCCCCATTCACAGTGGCTGGAACAATCTCTTGGTTTGAGGTTAATTGATTGTTTTCAACAGCACGATCGCAAACATACAATCTTAGAGCTTGCGGCGAGATATCCACACCAATAGCAAAAAAAAATGTTTCGTATCATCGGTGTCAAATAACTCAACAATCGAACCAGATGACTGAGATTTATATGTTAACTTAATGATTTTGAAAATTAGGTAAGTTTAATTTTCTAGTTAAATAATTGACTAAACCTGGAAATGTTATGTGTATTGACAACAATACAACAACTTTTTGCATTTTGGGAATATAATCTACCACATCATTGACTAAGTGCCACGAACCTCCACAAAAAACACGTATTCTAACTTTTTCAATCACAGACATTGATTCTTGAGAATTTGGAGACGATAATTTTTTTTTGTAAACACTAGATTGGTACGTATATATCGATAAATTCTAAAAAAACCCAAATAATATAGTGTGTGAAGGAGGAAAAAAAAGGAAAAAAATTATGGGCTGGTGGGGCCCTTATGGACCACGCACCGGCCGATGCATAAGGGTGGGGCCCACCGAGCCATGCATCGGTCGAATCAGTCACGTCCATGTCAGCCTTGGTGTCATAATATTTTTTTTGCACAATAGTCCCCATATGCACCAAGGGTTGCTAAAGGGGTAAATGGTGATTAAAATTTTAAACTTTTAAAATTTAGGGTCAAAAATGTAATTTTGAAAATTTGGTGAGTTATTATTGCCAGGAACTCCATCAACTATGTAAAAATATACCTCGATAAGTACGAAAAATTCAATAAATGGTTTTTATCATAAAATTATAATTGATTACAAGAAATGCTAGTAATTCATATTTAATAATTGTTTCGAGTATTTTTAGACGCAAATCAATAGATAATAATTTCTAAATCAATATTTTATATCGATCGTATCTATCTTCAACTTGTTGGAAGTATGTTCCTCTCCATCTTGTCCCTAATCCACATTTAACTCTAACTTCAGATATGGTTAATTATGTCATTTGTTGATTCTTACGAACTGATATGGAAATTAGAGATTGTTGAAGGGCTAGAGTGTCTTCACCTGATTACTTGAGGGTTCCAGAGCAATATTGAGGATTCTAGGAGGGGCTGATTGAATTTTCAGTAAATATAAAAGGATTTCATCTTTTTTCTTTTTGTTGGATATTTGTTATGAGTGTTCATCTAAACCCTCATATCGTATAAACCACCCACATCGCATATATCGTGCGGTTAAACCTTTGCGGTGTGGTTTGTGATTTACGTTTTCATCAAACAACATTTTACAGTTTTATAGTTTATGAAACAGTTACTATTAAAACAACATTTCGAAATTCGAGCAACTTCAACTGATGACGAAAAACATAGAACTCCTTTACTTCCGATAGCTTTTGTTGGAACATTACTTCTCTAGATCAAAGATTTTATATAGTTCATATAATGCGAAATTTTGGTTTAAATGCTAAAAGCATCTCCAACAATATTTCTAACTTGAAGAAAATAGAAATTTTAGACTATTTTGTTTGCTCCAATAGATTCTCTGTTTTGAGTTCCAAATCGGCTAGACTTGTACCAATTCACCTTTATATATGTTGGAATCCCTCTTTCTTTCTTTAATGACTCTTTTGTAGAGTAATCTGTTGAAGTTCTATATATTTGCACATGGTATCAGAGCTGATGTCTACCACTCTAGGGGCTCGATACCATGCGCTATCCGTACTTGTCTAACCCATCACCCGTCTTAGCCTCCATTGGAAGGGTGTGCTAAAGTCCCATATCGACTAAACTTGGACCATTTCACCTTTATATATGTTGGAACATCCTTTCTCTCCTCAAACGCTGTTTCTGAAAGTAATATGATAAAGTTCTACATATTCTCACACTTCTAAATCTTACTCCAAATTAAAATAGGGAAAGTAGGAGAGATAATACAAATATCTCCAAATTTTGGAGGACTCTCTAAAATTAGATGTTGTAGATAAGTATATAATATTTATATACGTCAAATAGAATAAATAAACTCATAAACTCTTCTCATCTTTGATGAGATTTGAACTCCTGACCTCCCAAAATGCCAAATTGAATGTATTAGCATTTCATATGCCATTTATTTGAACTTATTTTATTTGATTCTCATTCTAATAATTAAATCGTTGGTCTTAACCTTATGTGATATCGGAACACGTATGCATATTTATTTGAATATTGATTATATCTATGTAGTTTTGTATGTATGTTGTTTGTTAATCGATCATCAATTTTCTTGCCATTTGTTTCCATATGAGCATATGACACTCAAGTAGAAGGTTTGTGCTTAAATTTTTATGTCAAATGTTATATGGTTTAAATGTACATTTTTAACCTAAGAGGGTTATGTATGTGCAGGGGATGTATTAGAAGGATTCCAAGACAGATGATGAGGTTCCCGTTGCATGGAATCATGCAATGCGGAATCACACTACAAAACTGATGGGTATTTTAGACAGAAAATTCTATCGAAAAAGTCGATTTTCGACAACAACTCCAGACAATAACTATTTGGTCGAAAAATGAACTTTGCGATGGAAAAGTTCCGTTGAAAAATTAATGAAAATTGCTGGGGATTTTTGACGGACCTTGGTCAGTTGACCGTTTGTTAGGATTTTTGACATAATTTCGAGGGCGATATTCAAGTGATATTCGACAGAATTCACTTTCAAGGGATTTTAAATGGATTTGTTTTTCGAGGGATTTTTGACGAAATTGAGTTTCGAGGGAATTTTAACGAAATTGAGTTTCAGGGGATTTTCGACAGTTTGAGTTTCGAATAATTTTCCGACGGAATTTGGTCAACCATAGTTGATCCTCTTTGACAAATTTTTCATAAAATTGTAGATAGTTTTTTGTCAAAAATCCTTCGAAAATTTTAAGTATATACTTTAATTGTACCAAAACAACTACAAATAGAGATCAATATGTAAAGTTAAACCTCCCAGTTGTTTATTCAACCGTCTAAAACGGTATGAAAGCACCTGATGAGTTTGCTTGGCCGAAACCCTACGAATCTACGATCACATTGTCTATGAACACAATCATATTACCGAAAACTTCTTAGAAAGATTTTCAATGAATAAATAATTCATCTATCATCCATAGAAAAGCCGTCGAAGACTTTAGATGGATTTTCAATGGAATTGGTACGGTCTAAAATCCGTCTAATAGTTCAACTTTTCTTTTAGATTATTATCTATCGAAAATCCCTCGAATTTTTTTGACGAATTTTTTATTGAAAATTTCGACGAATATACCAAGTATATGTTCTAGTAGTGTCAGAAGGGGGACGTCACGAGGGGCACACAGAGTTGGCCATCAAAAAGGCCTTAGAAGAGGGGTCGTCTTCAATGGTGACAACTTTCACGGTCAAATGGCCCTCTATGGATCACAATAGAGCATTGACATTAGGTGATAAATACGGTATGTTGTAAATAGTAGATTTTTTTAGAACTTGTTGCGGAGATGTTCAATTTATAGTCAATATGTTGTTGAAATTTCGAAAACTTACTATTCTATTTTTGTTTTTGTAATCAGGAGGCTTATGAGTACACCATGTAAGAGAAGGCTAGCACTTGTCTTCCACATGATCCCTATGTGTGTTGTAGTCGGAAAAAGGAGATTTGACACTACTGTGGATCCCAAGTTCGATGACAGTTGTTGCCCTTGGGGATCGTATGTGTTGGAGAGATAACACGAAAAACAATACAGAACACATGATATATATATATATATATATATAGATATGAGATGGTTGTGATGCTATATATATACACGAGAACAAATTCTAATATCACAACAATACCATAATTACATCAGTTACACACCTATGTATATATATATATATATATATATATATATATACAACAAATAGAACCGTTGTACCCCTTCAAAGAAAGGCAACGATTCAATATTTTTGTAATTGCGAAATAACATAACTGATCATAACTACCACAAATGATATCTAGCTTAACTTTCAACACTCCCCCTTAAGCTAGATATGATGAACAGCATCGATTAAGACTTAGACTTCATCTTCTTGAAGCCTCTAACTTTGACATCATCATAGATTTTCAACTGCTATGGAGAGTATCGTCCACAACCACCAACTTGACCATTTTTGCTGTCGAATTTACAGACATCATCCATCTCAACATATTCATCATCAACACAAAAGAAACATCCAGATTCTTTTCATCTAGTAGGTTTATCGCAAACAATACAATCAATCTTAAAATTTTCTTTCCATAATCAAGTCTTTCAGAATCTTTTCATCTGGGCTTGAACCAACCTTGAAACATTTTTTTTACCGTTATTAAACCGGGCCATACTCTTTTGATGATTATACCATACGTTCTTGACATGATACACAAATCTTTCAGATAAATAAGTGGCAATTTTTGCCCAACTGTTCTCATACTTACTTTGCAAATCAAACACCAATTGTTTTTCCTTTTAAGAAAACATACCTTTCTTGAGATTGGGTTGAAATTTGTTCAAGCACCGAAGGCTACACGATTTTTCTGTCCGTTTGAGAAGTCCTTTGGAAAGAAGAATATTCCATTTCTTTGGACCATTGTCTTATATATGTTGTATTAAAAGATCATCTTCTTCTTTACTCCAGGCCTCTTTCTTAACGTCTCCTGGAATTTGTTTCTTCAGCATCTCATACTCTTTTATTTGATTTTCATATGTAGCCTGTAGTGTTTCGACTTTCATCTTTAGATGCTTTTATTCCTCCAATATTGTCATCTCCTTTTCCACATCTTTTTCTTCCTTTTTTACGGAAAATTTGATGCCAAAGAGTTTTATTGTAGCCATTGGAAAAAACTTCTAATCTTGTTTTGATTTCTCCTTGAATCTTCTGACCTATGTCTTCTTGTTTGAGCTTCCGTTAGTGTTTTCCTTGAGTTTTCTGCACAGAAAGAAAATACAGACTGCTATGTTCTTCGTTCATCCATTCGAAGTCCATAACACATAGATTTCTATGTTCTTCTTCTGATCTTTCATGTGCTTGTTTTGGTTTTCTTTGATCTTAAACCTTGCTCTGATACCACTATGTTGGAAGAAATGAAGAAGAAAGGATAACGTATAAACAGTTAATGCCATTTGTTTTGATAATCAGTTACAACATCAAACATAAAACCATACACGTACATGACTATTTATACACATGTAAGCCAACCGTTGTGACCCTTCTAATCAACACAACGGTTAAGATAAACCAAATAACTATCCAACCGTAAATTGGAATACTAAACGGTTGGTCTAGCTTACTTTCAACATTTTCTCGGAATTTTATAAATTCGATTTGTTCATTTAATGTATTATAAACAGGAAATGTATATTTTATACAAGTAAATACAAACAATTTTGATTATTAAAAAAATAATTATTAAGAACGACAAAGGACAACGTCCGAAATACGTCGGTGATCCGAGGTTATTTGCTGTAAATCCTTCGGTAATTAGCACCGTCCGAATTCCTTTGGTAATAGCTATCGCTGGAACTCCATCAGTTATTCTGCTCGTCCCAAAACCATTGGTGAAAGTTGCTGTAAAAGAGGAGACCAATAGGCCATTGGTTATCTCAGGACCATCCGAAAATCATCGGTCATAGACGCTGTTGGAGATCCGCTGTTGATGGCTTCGGAGACCCATCTGTGTTGTATCAGCGATGAACTCTTCGACAATGATGAGTTTCCCATGAATCACCATGGATCTAACCATCACCAACAGATCTGTGATGGCTATGCCCATCGCTTAAAGTGTCTAGTTTTATAGTCTTTTATTCTTGCATGAACCTTTTGTTAAAAGATGAGA